GGGCGGGGGGCCGGCCGGGCTGACGCTGTGCCTGGGTGGGAAGCGCTGCTGCGGAGGGGCCTTTACCTCTTCAGTGCAGGGGCAACTCTCAGGGCACCTACAGACCCAGCCTCCTCAGGGACAGCCAGCTCACAGCCTTTGCTCCAAGGAGTTCCTGCAGGAGGAGCATGGAGAGACAGGCCTCTCTCCCTGGGTGGGTTGAGAATTGGGAAGACATCCTCGCTCCAGAGCTCTAGAACGTGGCTCTGTGGGACGACAGGTTCTAGATCGCGGTCTCTGTGATGAAGACAAAGGCCTCAGGCCGCCCCCGCCCAGTTCCCGTGTCATCAGCCCTCCCGCCCCAGGCCCTGATTCCTTTCTGCGCTGGGCAGGACAGTGGTGTGACGGAGGTCGCAGGGCTCAGCACCCAGGTGGCCAAGGAGTGGACGTGGAGATCCCACTCAGCTCTGCCACTCCTAGGGACCACTGAGATGGGGAAACAGGCCAGAGGAGTTCAGCTGTTGAGGGTCCTAGGACCAGGAGGCAGGGTTAGGGTCTGTGGCGGCGGTGGGCGGGCAGGAGTCGGCAGGGAAGTGCTGCTGTCCCAGCTGACCTTGCTCAGACCCTGTTTGCCTTTCAGCTGCATGGCTGGCCAGCCTGCCTCTCCGACCCCGGTGTCCTTGGGAGCAGGTGCACTTTTTCTTGACATTAGTTGTGGTCCCCTTAAAGCTCGGCTTGAGGGGGGACCCAGCCCCCTCTGAGCAGACTCTTCTTGGGTGACTTGGGAGCGAGCCCATGCTGAGGTGTACATCCACGGTGCCTGGCTTTCATTGCAGCAGCGTGCAGGTGCAGAGGCCCCCACCTGGCCTAGGGACAGGGCAGACCATGGTCCGGCCTGTCTTTCCTAGCCCCAGACGCGTCCTCCCTCTTGGGCTCTTTGTCCCTCCCTCCTGGCAGCCCCCGCCTACCCCACGGCCTCTCCCCGTCCTCAGACCTGCTGGTCGATCTGCCTGGTCCGAGTGCGTCCACCTGCGTAAATGGCACCTGCCTGCATATCCCCTGGGATCCGCTCCTGTGTGTCTTGTTTCTGTGAGTCCCTTAGTATGGAATTACTTTCTCATGTGTGTTCCCTGCACGTGTGCCTACATGTATGAGTCTCTATGTGTGTCTTCCTTGTGTGGTTGTGTTCTTGACATGACCTTCTGTGCATCCCTGTATGGGGGAAGAGACAGGAGCCAGACCCTGAGCTGCGGAGACTTTATTGATTAAACAGTTCGAGGGGAAATTCCATGTGGGGAAGTGGGAGCTGCGGCTTGTCCATGGCGGCTTGTCCGTGGGTGCTGCGGCTGCTCGGGGCCATGTCGGGGTCCGGTTAGACGCCATCCTAGCTGCCCAGTACTTGCACCTGGAAGGCAGACATGCGTGGGCCAACAGGGCCGGGGCTCACTAAGCAGGCAGACAGGCCAGCCAGCCTCCCACCCCTCCTGGCAGCTGGGAGGTGTTGTGTGTGTGTGTGACTATGTGCACACATGTTGCATGTATGTACACAGATGATGGGCAAATGTGTGCTTGTGTGCATGTTCCAGCACAGGCGTCCATGTGTGGATGTGTCTGTGAACGTGCATGCAGTGTGCATGGTGTACATGTGTGTGCATAGTAGCCCACAGGCTGGCAGGGAAGCAGGCCCATGGTGTCTGGGGGTTGCTCTGTGGGCAGGGAGGTCGGGTATCTGTGGGGTGGTGGAGGCA